CAGAAGTGAACCCTTACCCTTGATAAAAAGCAAACCACAGAGAGCAAGGACAAGCAAGGCTAACGTTAGTGTACCTCGACTAGCGCGGCGGGTAGCCTTGGTTGAGCACGGTGACGATGCCAGCCTCTGACCTCTTGCGTTGCAATAATCGAGACCGGGAAAAGACACAGACCAAGTCCGGAACAAAGCGGGCAGTCGACTGCGAGCTGGAGACCGTGGACCGAGTCTTGATTCAAGAGCTAGCAGACAGTATTGGTCGCGGAAGCGAGTGATAAATAGAGTCTGGCGTCGATGGTCGCAGCTGAGAAGAACAAGGACAAAAGGAGGATCGGTTTCAGCAATATTGTGTATGCATGACACAGACACATACAGCTGAGATTACCGTGTGAGGTGCCGTGTTTGCCTTGCCCAGACCAGTGTTGATGTGGGGAGAAAAGAATTGAAAGAAGCCGTCGAGGTCAGTCGAGTTTGGGGTGGAGGTCAATGGCTAGACAACTGGGATGGAGGTTCTAATGCAGTCCCACCACAAGCGCGGCGCAAGCACGGAGAAGAAAGTGAGGGAATGAGTGGCGTGACGTATAGAATAAAGACAAGGGAGATTCTTGGTGAAGGGTTATCAGACAAGAGCAATAAGAAAAGACACATATGACTCCCACAGAATGGAAATGGAGAGAGTAAAGTATACCCCGATCCAGACAATGACGAACGCGGTAGAAAGATGGATGAGAAGCCTACCTCAATGTGCCTGGGCTGAAAACGGCCCGCTTGAGCGCCTGAAGCACTTGGGATTTTAGAGGACTGGTGCATCAAGTTGAGGACTGATGCGTTCCAACTGACGCGCCGACAGCACTAGCGTGGGGGTGTTCAGTAAACCTTAAAGCGTATGGATCTACAGTATGACCAGCAATGTTTGCTTGAATACCTAGGTAATTAGTAAATGTTTACTCCGTACGGATATCGTGGAGAGATCCCAGACTTGGTGTCTTCGGATGCCTTTGAATGCATCTAGATTGGATGCGAGCATGCATCCTGTTACTGCAAGGGCTTCGAGGATGCCACTCTGCCACTGCAATACTAGAACAAGGACTGTTGTAATTACGATATGCAAGCCCAGGTCACGTCGTCGAGTAACATTGCATGCTAAAAACTCGATTGGCCCGGGGTGCACGGTCTAAAAAGTCCCCCAGTCAAGATAATGAGCTCGCCTTCACGGGACAAGCCAATCAGAGTGTCTTGCATGGACGCTTGAGGATATCTTCCCCGGCTGGTCTTACAGTCTACGACCATTGTGGTTAGACTGGGAGCAGAAAAGAAAATATAATCAGGCTGACCATCATAATGCTGCTGCGAAGACTGTAAAGATCCAGGGAACACGGTTCATTCTCAGAACTGATATCCCTGGCTCCCCTCTTCCCATCAAAAGGAAGGTCCATCCAATTGTTATACATGGACTCGAATCTGAACCATTTCTCTCTCATAAGATTCTTCTACTAATGCAATAGCATGCGCCAAGTAAGATACTAAAGGACGGCCCGGAAGTTGCCCTTATTAACAACAGAACAATCCACAAGTTCATCGGGTAACTGCGTCGTCGATCACGCCGACAGTCATGTACCGACCGAGCTGTACCTTACCAAGCCTGGGAGCTTCTGACTGAAATCACCCACTTCCCCCTCTATTGGGTCCTTGCGAGGAGGCTACGGCATCTGTGATTTAGCTCCCGGCACCCGAGCAACCTCAAACAGCTAACGCAGGTACTACCGCTTGTGCCTGATTAGAACAGCAAAACTTGGTCCAGAAATGGAGGTTTGTTTCGAACATCGTCATACTCTTATGTAGTAGGTAGTAGTACCTACCTAGCTACTATTGTTAGTACCTATCTTAGTACCTAGATTTACCTAGGTAGGTACTAGATATTAAATTTATAGGGCAGCGAGATACGGAGTACTAATAGGACCTAATGAACGCAACAACCTGGAATTGCACCACTTGAGGTGGCATTGGATCTTGCCCAAGGGTGTTTGCTCATGGGCACTAATATCAGTAAACTTTTATGTTTCATATCCAGCTCCTTGCTCTTGAGCTGAGAACTCCCCATCACTTTGAATTCCAAGCCTTTTCTTGGGTGTTGTCTTAACATGTCGCACAGCAATGCTCCCTCCTTTGCGTATATGCATATGTATCCGTACCTACTGACTTACCCATATGGATATCAAAGTACTAAAAGATACTGCGCACATACTAAGGTATATTGCCCAAGCGTCGTTGTCTCAACCTCTCAATGGCGTCGACTCCTTGCACCACGACTTGCTCCCCTGCCAACCTTCAAGGGCATCATTGGCCTGCTCCCAACCCAGCGCGTTAGCTTACATTAGCCTCAAGTTGGTCATAACAGCCGGTCGCCCCTTTCCGTGTAAGGATTGGACCCTTTGCAATATTTTTTGCTCCTTGTTGGTGGAGCACTATTACCAACTGCTTCGATCGTATCAACCACAATGACACCTACCAAGAAAGGCATCTTCGGATGTGGCAGATCCCACATCAGACGGTGATGAGAGTCGTCTTTGTCGATTCGTCGCCTGTACTCCGTACTGTCTTATTATTACTTATGCAAAAGCATGCACCAGGGACTTCAATCTTGGATTGTCCATGAGGCGATCCAATGATCCTTACGCACAGCGAAGTACAGTACATGCTGTAGTACTGTACCTGCATACGCCTACAACGGGACCCTTTATTCAAGATTTGGCAAATCCCATGGAACGGAGTGTCTCAATAATGAGACCCTTGCCGAGAGTGCCCCCACTGCCCAGCTTATAACCTATCCTATAGACAAGCAAACTTATAGGTGTTGGCCAATGATTAACAGCCTAGACCATCGCAAAAGCGTTGATCATGAATACAGCGTCTTGCACGCAGGTCTTACCAAACAACACAGGACTCGATGCTACATCAGATCGGAACAGTCCCAAACTCAGATACCAGATGGGAGGGCTCCAAATCATACTCAAACAAAACAACGGTGTGAAATTGTAAAGAAACATTCTCACTGGGATGGCGCATTCCGTCAGACAGTCCTCAGCTTTGGCCCTGTCCCGATGTTTTGGGAGCAAACTCATGGCATTTTGACAGGCTCATCCATTATTGGTCTGAACATTAGATACCATAAACTGCAATTTATTTGCCCCTGGCCCGTGGTCCTCCAGTTTGCATGGCTCATCAATAGGCTTCCAGGGACCCTGTCTGTGCCCCTTTCACGGTTCACCGGGGCCCCAATGCTCCATAACTGATAGCGCGGTTGTGGTTGAGCCACAAGCTTCTGTTAAATCGCCGTAGACCTATAGATAGGACTCAACTTTATCACAGAATTACAGCCCATTTCTAGCTGCACATCTTGTCACATCGGCAGCATGTTGCTTGGACATCAATGGTGGATAGTGATAGTCCTACCGATCAGCTGAAAATGCGTTTCTTCCGGACTTACTTAGTACCTATGCCCGACTAACATGTTGTCAAGCCCGTTCCGAGGATGAAAACATGCACACTTGCAAGGGTATTCTCGCTTTGCCCATCCTTCCGATGTGACAGCCTCGCTCACTTGCTTCGAGGGTTCCACCATCAACGGTTCTTTGACGGCCGTTGCACCCGTCTTTAACGAATCACTCACTTACGTAGTAAGACTCATCTCTCTCTTGGTACCACGAGGGTCTTCTCCGCCTATCATGAAATCTCGATGGGTCGTGGATTATCACTGTAATTCCCGGTTGAAAATCGCATTGGTTTATTCTGTGGAGATCATCTCCTAGCACTTCGCAACATGCTCTCTAAAAGCTGACGTCTGAGCTCCTGCGATTTTTGTCAACTGCATATGCATGATGATTTGTTACCAATGACCACTAGTGAGCTTCGATGCTAATGTGCTGGTACCTAATGCCACCACCTCATATGATTGTTGAGACAGAATTGGCTGGACCCAGCCCATCTACAACTTGCTACTCCCTAAACATGCCAGTCTGAACGACTGCGTCAGACTCGCTAGGATCGTGCCCACTCAAGATCAACATTGCATATGCAGACTCTTCCCTTTTCTTTCTCGTTAAAAGTCTGGCCTGGTCTGATCTGACCTTGTCTTGCTTTTGGCTTTCGTGCCTAAGCCACATCAGGTGGAAACCCCCTCGCTTGTCTCAATATTCCCACATGACAACCCCAGTTCAAAGCTCGATGGCAACTGGGTAGGTCATGCCTGATGATTTTAAGCTTTGGAATCAATCCTATGAGGCATGAAGATAGCAAACTTTCTCTCCCAATGAACGAGCTCTCGTGTATGGAGAGCAAACTGTGTGTACATTCCAGGGCTCAGATGAATATGCATATGCTCCCCGGCTTGATCGCAAGCTCGTCTTGAAAACAGAAATCGTTCTTCGTATGCATCCTATCATAAAGTATGAACAGACAAAGAGTCCAAAAAAAACCCGAACATTGTTTGACGAACACTTATCCTTGCCCTCGCTTAAACAGAATGTCAATACTAGATTCAATGCCTGCCAAGCGTTCCCTATCACAGTCGGATCACACTTCAATCACAACTGTCACACTTGAAGGCCTCTCCACTCTAATTGGATGTCTCATTGTGAGCGCACTTCATGCATGGTCGTGTAAGTACCCTGCTTATATTAATGCGTCGGCAAAAACTGCTGTACTCTGTACTTATGTTCTATTGCGTGTCACATATTGCAGCGTATAATCGGTTGGCATTGTTGTTGTTGGTAGGTGGTTCAATTGGAAAGTCTAAGTTTATGGCTTGAGTCTATATCTATTAAAACAGAGTGTGTCTTCCCTCTTGGAATCATCAAATCAATCAGAAGTCCGCTATTATCTTTGCTTAAAGCAAAGGTACAAATGAGTCTCAGAATAAGCTTTCCACGAGTAACACCATAGTCTCATGCGCCAACAAACTGGAAATCGAAAAAACAATGCCGTATACTCTTTGACGCTTCGTGTCAACCTCCCAATGCTCTCACTCCTCTTCCTACGCTTCCCGTCTCAAAAACTTCCACAACGCCCAGCCCTATGGCTTCTCCTAAGACCCAGGACCATTCAACTCCCCAGAAATCCTTCCACCGCGGTCCATAGAGCCCACCGCCTTCAAAGCGCTCCTTTAACCAGCTCTCTGGCCCTTCTCCCCAACGTGTTCGCCGTAGGGAATCTCGAACCCAGTCCACGGTAGCGGTCGCCAGCTTCAGATGTCGGCCATGACCTGGGACTGATATTCTGAGGCCAGATGGTGTTGAGGCTGAGCGTGTAAGTGTTGGAGCGCCTCCACCGCCCCCAGCAAGATGAATAGCATTTTGGCCGCCAACAGCAGAGGCTGTGCCTGATGCAAAGCGTGAGACATGGTGAATTGACGTCAGCGTCGTTCTGTTCTCTGGCCGAATATCGAGAGTACTTTCTGGCGTTGACGGTGTTGAGCTTGTGAGAAAGCCTGCACGAACAAGCTCGTCGGCCTGTGTGTTTTCCAGTGCACCCTTATACAGTATCTGCGTAGTTGGGTTCTCTTTCAGAAAGGCCCTGAATGATTTCCTCGTCTCTTCATGCAGTGATGCTTTTCCTAGCATCTCATTGTAGTCCGTCATCTCTATCAAGGCTTCACCTCCTCCTCCACGTCTCTCAACTCTCACTCTGCGCACTATGCCATTTATCGCTAATTCTGCAAGTTCCCGTTCAACTTTTCCTGGTGAACTGAGAATGGCATTGAGATGGCCTACGGTAACGAGAGGTGCCGTAGTCGCGCGGTAGTTAAGAATGTCAGCAGTTCGTGTTGAGTTGAAACCTGTTTGAGGCACGGGACTGAACATCCGAGCACGGATGTATCGCATCGCTTGGACGACATCTCGTAAGGTAAGTTCTTCCTCCAAAACCTTGGTTAGGCCAATGTCGTTGAGTTTATCATGGAACAGATCATTGTCTTGATGCTTGGACTTGGAGGTCGGTCTTCGCGGAGTTGAGTCAGAACGGTTACGAGAGGGCGGCGATGTCTTTAGAGGTTTGGCAATTCGACCAGGCTTGCCGAGTATAGACCTTATAGTTTGTGGCATGGTGGGTGACTATGTGTCGATGGGAGAGTAACGTTGTGAAGTATAATATCTGAACAAGTAATTATTGTTCAATGTCGTACGCCCTTTGATCCGGGTGGCGAATTGGTGGAGAACTTTAGGACTCGACTCTCTAAACTCTGGTAGAAGGCTCATTTCTCAGGAAGGTTCAGGTACCCATCGATACAAGATTCTACTAAGACAGTCGTAAGAAGAAAAAAACTCAAAGTCAGTGATGATTGCTTCAATATGCAGGTCAAATTGATGCCTATCCAACTGCTGAACTAATAAAAAAAAAGCTTACGCCGATGTGGCTGACTAACGCTCAAGTTTTGTGCGTGGTGATCTTTTAAATCCCGTCTTGTGAGATTTCGTAGAGAAACAATAGCCATGAATTTACACATATTATGGGCCAACTGAACTCAGCCCGCTGTTGTCAATATGTATGAAGTGATGGCACTCATCCTCTCGCTTGTCAGCTTCAGCGATATCCTTAACAGCTCTCTTCCAATTTCTGGTTCCTTCTTCTGGATTCTGTCCCACTGGTCTCGATCCATCAGCCAAACCACACAGTCACGCTCCACGACAGCAGTTGCAGTTCGATCTGTTTCGGAGAAGAAAGGCAGCTCGCCGAGGGTCGTTCCAGCCACGATACTCTCGCAAAGCCAGCCCTGGGGAAGATCATACTCAGCACGTACAATACCACGTTCCACGAGGTAGAACCCATTGGCTGGCTCTCCACGTCGGAACAGAACAGTTCCAGCAGTTATCTCACGCCGAGAGAAGTAAGAGGCTGCTGGAAACCAAAAGTCCTCATTCTTGTCACTCAAGCCCTGAAAGACCTGGAGCATAAGACGAAGGGGCTCTTTGAAACTTTGCCACTTCTTCGGACGCTGCACTTCCACGCTGCTCAGAGCATCGCGAGCAGCCTCAGCAAGGTGATTACGACGCGGTGAATTGAAGGGTGGGTCGAAAGAGGAGAAACCAGATGATTTGTTGGAAGGCACGTCCAGGTTCTGCGCTGAATGTGCCGATATACGTCTCAGGGCGTTCATCTCTTCCTGTCTGGCGTACAGAGTCTTTAAAAGTTCATTTTCGCAGCTCTCAAGAGCAGAGTTCAGATTTGGCAGCATCATGACCTCGATACCATCGTTTCCAAGCCCGACAGCTCGAAGGTTGCGACCAAGTTGAGTTTCCGAGTCGACGCCACTCAAAACGAGGACGACATCCTTGTTATCGAGTAAGCGGCTGATTGTGTTGAAAGCCTCACCGGCGGAATAGTCGAGCCCAGTAACGTGCCACATATCAAGAATCAGGAACTTGATGGGCTGCTTAGTGAATGTGCTGTCCTCCAGGAGACCCCGGATCTTTGCCTCGACGCTGACGATGGTTCCAAAGAAGAGATAGCCTGTAAGCTTTATGATATAAATCTGTCGGCCGACCTCATGCAGGTAATGATGCTGAGAAGGGTTGCGTCGCACAGTGGAGGAAACGATATCTCCAGAGTAGTTTCCACGAATGGCTGACACACGAGAGGTCTGTAGAACCAAGGAAACGAATGCCAATAGTATGCCAACCCCGATACCAACGACAAAGTCATGAATGCCCATGACGAGAACAATTACCACAACAGTCAGATACTCCGCGAGCTTAAGCTTCTTTCGTGGTAGCCACAGAGCTTCAAGCAGTAGCTCGAACCCTAGATCATAGATCAGAGTGCCCACCATCATGACCGGGATGAAACCAATGAGTGATGGACCGATGACCATGACACCAAACGTTGCTGCGGCCAACATATAACCTGCAAGCCGGCTGTTACCTCCAGACCGCATAAAGAAAACTGTGTTTGCATAGACCAAGTAATTTTGAATACTACCAAAACAACCGGACAAGAAGTTGGAATAGCCATGCAATCTTAGCTCCTTGTCAAGATCAGCATGATCCTCGCCGCAGTTTAGGGCTAAGGCAGGGACATTGATCGGGACATGCAAAATGCCAAAGAAGGTCAATGCAAGCATAGCAGGCACACATTCGATGACTGCATCCCAGCGTACGAGTTTGAACTCTGAAATAAGTGGTTAGCCTGGTAGTGAAAATAGGGAAGAGAGGGTATTGGACTCACTGTAAAGGGTGTAGAAGTACCACCATGGCTCCCCGGAGGGAGGTCCCTCAAAGATCCAGCCATGGTCGCGTAGTACGTCAACGTCCAAAGAATCCAAGGCAAGGACAAAGAAATAGAAGATGAGGGGGATCGCGAGAATAAAAAGGGGGAGGAAGAATTTGGATGTGATCTTGGACTGGCCATAAAAGAGAACAATGGCGAGGACTAAGGGCACAACCCAGAGAGGGACGGTGGCCGGGTCTGAGAGCTGTTTGAGAGTGTCGAGGTTGTACTGGAGGCTGCCATCTAGTCGAGCAGAAACCTCGAACCCAGTTGCGATCAGGAACCAACCGACACCTCCAATACAGCCAATGAGAATATGTCTGGGAATGAATCCCACCATGTAACCGACTTTGAATCGTCCCATCAAATAGAAGACGAGACCTGTCATCATGGAGCTGACGGAAAATGACACAATTGTGGTGGCGATCACGGCATCGGGGTTATCTTCCCCAACGATATCAGTGATCTTGGCAGCCATATTATGAAAGAACGGAACCACTTCAATCTGGGAAGATGGTTAGCAGGCATTGATTGACTTATGGGTGCGACTGACCAGCTCTGAACCCACGGCACCCTTAAAGATACTACCAGATGAGAATGTTATTTGCGAAACGATGGTGCTGACATAGAAAACAGAAATTCCAGCAGATCCCAGGTGAGAAAAAATTGGCTTTCCCAAAGGGAAAAGGATCATTCCTAGGCTTGTTAGATGCCATGCATAGACTTGGAACTATAAAACATACCATATGATAGAGCATCCAAGATATTGAGCAGCAGACCAACAGCAACGGCGGGTAGACATGAAGTTGGTGTCGCGATCACATTATTCCAAAGCGCATGACGATCCCACTTCTTGGGGTTGATGGCGACGGCCACTCCTTGGGAAACCCTTTCTTCCATCTTATTGCCGACTTCCACAAGACCACTAAACCATGGTCGTTTAGTCTGAGGCTTTTGACCCTCGAGATCAGAGTATGACCTCCGGCCAGCGGATGTTATCCGAGTGAGCAGAGGGGTCTGCTCCGTAGCATCCTCTGCGTGTGCAACTCGAGGTTGCTCCCCCTCCGGTCGACATGCGTCACCGTTTGGCTCTTCATCCTCGACTTGTGGCTGGTTTGGCGCAATAGATTGGGGAGGAGATCGCTTCAGGAGGTTTGCCAGGACAGACGGTCCCGCATCCGCGTCAGTATCGTCATCATGGCCATCTGGAGATGGCGGCTCGGAAACTTCAAGGATTGTTTTGGAGGAGCGGGTGTTGTCGGCCGTAGATGAGTCGTCGATAACCTCTGAGTCAATTGAGTCCTGGTAAGAGACCCTTGCACGTTGGAGGACGGTCGAGCTCTGCTGTGTCTTGGGGTCGGAGAGCAAGTAATTCGCAAGCTCTGCAGTATCCTGCCGAACAGACAAAGCGTTCTGAACACTATCAATTGGTGCTGTTGTAGATGGAGGGATCAGCCGAAAATGCGGGCAGACGAAAGAATGGGATGCGACATACCTAAACCGTCTCGCACAGAACCATGGATGAAAGACCTGATAGGTTCTCTATGAGCTGCAGAGCTAGAAGATGGTCTTGCAGCAATTGGGACATGGGGACTATGGCCGTGCTGAACAGGAGAAGTTGAAAGCTCGTCGCGTTGCAATTGAGCTTGCTCGCTTTCCGATTGTGAAGCAGCACTCAAAGCCCTTCTCCTCCACGGTGTAAAATTGAGCGGCGACGACATCGTATCGCTTTTGGGCGGCTGTAAAGGCACTTATGAGCGCGGGTTGCAGCTCACTTCAGTGCTGTCGCATGAGCGATACACAAGGTCGACGGTCGACTATCTTTCAATTGTTTTTTTTCTCTTCTGCTTCACCTCCGGAGTCCAAAAAGAAGGGAAATTCAAGCAATAGTGAGCGAGACAATAAACATTCCAAGTGAAGCTTTCACGATAAAGAGAGATGGCGAGGATTTCGTAGGGAATGGAGTGACGAATGCCAACCGCAACCCGACGCAACGCAGCATAGCGCAACTGAATGGCCAGGGCGATCAGAGCGATGTGGGTCGCATCATGACACTATCAAACTTAAGGCTCATACGCCCGCATTAAGTTCTCACAACCAGTCAGTTTACGGGCTATCAAAGGGCAACAAATACATGAAAAACACGCAAAAGTTTAGCTTTGCTGTCACCGGCCAATAAAAGGGCAGCTTGAATATGGCATGTTTCCCTTAATCTTCCATTATAGAGATGCGCTGATGCTACTAGAATCAGGCTTGATCTTCGCACAGCAGAAGTATGTATGTGTTCTGGAATCCTTGTCATGAGCCATGAACTGCATGTCCTGCAGCTTTTTTTTTCTTCTGCATAGGCGAAAGATCCGCAAAGACTGCCCGAGAACACACTAACAATCGCCACGGCCTAAAAACATGTCAAACTTGGTCGTAACGGCCGCCGAGACTCGTCAGACGGGCCGAGTTGGTTAGCGCAAGGGGATGTTGAGGTGAGAAATGATAAGACGCCAATGGTTAGGTAAATCAGGATGCGTGTTTACCTGAGTATCTGTTGTCAATGAGGATCTATTCCTACTTGTGCAACGGTCTATTACCCACTTATGATTAAAACTTTACAGAGGTATCTACATTTCATGTTGTTCCAGCTTAAGCATTATCAATAAGAAGAAACTTGAGGAACTGGGCCAAGTGCCTCTTTTCCGTAGAATCAAGTAGATCTTAGGACGTATCACATTTGGTTGTCCTCAGGTTGTGTATATCTCCTCACCAAACACATGATGTCTTAAAAGTTCCACCATCACTACAACTTTGAGGGGCAAGCATTGCGGAAGACATTATCCATTGACATTATCCATTGAAAAGTGATGGAACCAGCCCTGGACCAATGTACTGGAAATTCAATGCCCTCTGTGGCTTGCGCACTACATTGAGCTACGAGTTTACGAATTGATGTTTACGAGAAAAGAACATAAATGAATGCGATAAATTGACATGTGATCTTATCAATATTTATGACGCAGGGTATAATACTAGAAAATATGCGACCATCAGGCTCCCTATGTATCACTTGTTCAGACCCCGCTTTCTCTCATCCAAGCTTATGCAAATATCCCTGTGCAATGAGTCTCTCGACGTCCCCTTGGCGTACATAAAACTGACTGTTCTTGGTCAATGTTATAGCCCTGATTCCATGGTCAGTTCATCGCATGAGATGCAAGTGATGTTGATATTGCGCAACTCACCCGTACTCTGTTTGGATTTCACCTGCATCCTTGAGCACTCGCACGTCGATGAACAAGTCTCGTGGCGGCTCTAGGCTCCCCGTCAGGTCGATGTCTGTCCATTGCCCCTTGTAGGCTGCCAACAGGTCGCTGTACTGTCTGACATACTCCTCTTCTTGAGGGCTGAGACTACTCTTTGATGCATCACTACCGCCCGTACCGGAAGCACTCGCAGGATCCCGTACTTGTTGCCCAGACAGATCTACCACGTCTGATCCATTCCATACCAATTCTTCAAGCTTATCTGTCCGTGTCCGGTGGTACGCGAGCAAGCAACGCTTGTTCCTTCGCATCGAAAGGTGATTTACTAGCAGAGTGCAAGCAATATCTTGGTCGGCGCTTGGGTCGAATGAGCCTTGAAACGGCTCAAGAAGTTCTGCTACATCTTTGTCCAGGTCTCTCACTTCTCGTGTCACCGCTCGGACAATTTCGGTCTGGTAAGGTGGCAGATGGGTCAGATTTTGAGTTCTTTTGGCGTGTTGGACCTGTCGTCTATATGTCAGATCTATGTCAGGAGTATGTTGGCAAAAAGAATACCAGCTTGTTGCCCAAATCTCCATACATCATGCAGCTGGCCCAGGTCTATGAGCGTGGACGGTATCCTGTAAGCTGCTCTCGGAATTTTCGCATTAATCAAGTAAGGTAAGTGATCGAGGAGGTTCGAGGGCTGCCAGACCGAACTATGGTCCAGGCAATGACATCTTTACTTTTGTTTTAAACAGAAGAATTGTTATGTCGCGTTGGTTACGTAGGGGCAGTTGACCGCGACTAGCGAACTGCGTGAACACACGCGACAAGTCGAGGTTTACCCCGCTATAATATGGCTTAGAGCGATACGATTCAGTACCTATTGAGGTCGGTGCAGGTGGTTGCTATTTGCATCTGAGACCCCTCACATTCCCCGAAGTCAGAGGGGTGTGATAATAGTGGGGTGGGCCTTTTTTTTTTTTTTTCTTTCTTTCACAACGTGGATGCTTTATTATATACGAGTGGCTGCAACTTGCGGGGTGAAACATCCTCACAGCTGCTGGTAAGGAACATTTTACTCAGTCATATTTGTTTTCGTTTTCATAATCTATGGTCGGTACGATGGGGTAGGATTCATGACTTTTCCACCTGTACGTCGCTCATTCGAAGTCATAAGATCCCATTGGTCATAAGTCCTCGCCGTCGTGCCTTATCATAATTTTTTACGTAGTTTACGCAAACTTTTTATAGCTTCTGCATGGCAGCAACGTCAGTGGACTGGACGTAATCCTCAAGCTCCTGGATCTCCTCCTCAAGGTCGGCAACGGAAATCTTCTCGTCCTCAACAACCATGTTAATCTGGAGCTTCTTGACACCGAAGCCCACAGGGACGAGCTTGGAAGCACCCCAGACGAGGCCGTCCTTCTCAATAGCACGAACGGCAGCCTCGAGAGCAACCATATCGGTCTCATCATCTAAGCATCGTTAGCATGGGAATTTTTGAAAGGATAAACGGGGGAAACATACCCCAAGGCTTGACGTCGAGAGTGACGACGGACTTGGCGATGGTCTTGGGCTTGGCCTCCTTCTTCTTCTTGTACTCAGCAAGACGCTCCTCACGGACGCGGGCGGCCTCCTCATCCTCCTCCTCGTCGCTGCCGAACAGGTCGACATCGTCATCATCACCTTCCTCGGCCTTCTCAGGAGCCTGGGCGGGGTTGATGGTCACCTCTGCGGTCTCAGGGCCGTAGGTGGTGTAGGGGGCAGCAGCATCACCAGGGAGGGTGGCGAACTGGCTCTCGTAGCTAGCAATGTGCTTGTACCATCGAGCGGCGTGGGGATACTTCTCAGCGTCGGGAGCGCTAGAGAGAGCCTTGAAGGTAGCGACATCAGCCTGAGAGGCAGATTGGCTGAGAGGATGTATTAGCACATAATCTCAAATGATGCTTTAAAAACATCGTGTGTTTTGAAAACTGCTCAGAGGTGCACAAGTGCTTGTTGTTTCGTCAAACGGCGGGTCTTGAGTCCGCCTCCGAAACACGGACCAATTTGTCTCATCATAGAAGTTTGAAAAAGGGGAAAGATTGTGGGAGGCTTGGAACGGTTCAGTACATACCCAACAATGTAAGAGCGGGTGCTCAACCAGCTGTTGAGCACTGATTTCAGGTGTCAGTGTCCATGGTGCGGAAAAGAGAGGCGCAAGAAAGCTATGAGGCCAGGGACATACCGGTAAGCCCAGCATCGGAAACGAGATCGGTGAAGCCCATTTTGAAGGATGTGAAAAGTCAAGTCGGAAAGAAGAGAAAGGTCGGGTATTTGTAGAGCTGGGAGAGATGCGAGAAGGAAAATGGGTTGTCTGGTCGATGTCCAGGTGGGGTTTATGAGATTTTTCACCTAATCTGCTTTGACTGGGGCTCACCACTGAAGACCAAGTGAGGGGCGGAAAAAGTAACGGATTAATTCCCTCCGTTAGCCGCTCCATGAGCGTCATTGAGCTCCCTTAGGTGGGTCCGAGCTTCCTATCTTAGGTAACTCCATTCTATACAATCACAGCTGGACGACGTAAGAGCTTCTGCCGCCTTGTGAATCAAGTCGTTGTATAACCTTTTCCCAACACACCACAATCTTTTCTCTTCCGGCACAAGTCCAAAATTTCCGAACATGCCAATCTCACCAATTATCACCTTCAAAGCGGGCCAGTGCGAGGTTGATGTACGTCTCATCCAGTACTTAGGAATTTGTAGAAGCATGTACTAACTTCACTTGTCTCCAGGCCTCCTCTAAGCCTTACAAAGTGAAGCCGCAACCTGAGCCGGGCTATATCTACCTATACTCTGAAGATGGTGGGTTTTCAAGTTCGCCCTTGTCAATGCTGCATGGCTAATGACAGAACAGATCTCGTGCATTTTTGCTGGCGCAAGCGAAGCGAACCCCTCGACAACCCTGAACTTGACCTGATCATGGTCCCTGGCGATGGCAGCTTCACTCCTCACGAATACACATCGTCTTCCGAGCCCACCTCCAAGACCAACGGCCGTATCTTCGTCCTCAAGTTTACTTCTTCGTCCCAACGATATCTCTTCTGGCTTCAGTCAAAGCCTCAGGCCGAAGACGGAGATCCTGCCTACTACAGCCCTCGTGATCGCAAGATTGGCGAAATAGTCCATCAACTACTACAGGGTGAGGAGGTGGATGTAGCTGAGGAATTGTCAGCTCTCCGTAACAACGATAACCGACCCGACGACGAGGATGAGACCATGGAGGACGCTGATACCCACCGTGCACCTCGAGGAAGCGGCAGCGGAGGCGCAGGACCTGACGCTACGGGTGGAGACGTTCGAGAGGAAGGCGAGGGCTCACGAGAGGGCGGAGCTGATGGTGCTAGAGCGTAGGTGATTCCCTTTGCATGGTTAAATTGGATGGTATGCTAGCGAGCGATGGGCTTGGCTTGTAGATCACAGATCTGGGGCACCAGGTCAACTGTGTAAAACTAGATTTCTTCACTGTGAGAGGAGAATTGGGAACTAGTGTCCTGGCGCTGGATCTATGGCATCAACTCTAAATGTGACTGTGCTGACCTTGTTCCAGGGCCTCTTCATCTGCCCCTGATGCCGATGCTGCTGCCGCTGTGAAGAGCTTTTTGGACAGCCTTCGAGGCCCGTCGGGGCTCTCTGGTAGACAGCAGCAGCAAACCACCGACAAGGCATACCCTCATCTCAACCACCTACTTCCCACTTCCATCACAGTACCTATGGTTGACTCGGCTACGGAAGAGTTCACAGACACATTGATCAGCCTTCTCCCTCCTGCCGTTATAGTCCTTGCAAGTGCCTCAACAGATTCTGTTGATGGGAAATTGGAGCCGTCAGCTTCGGCTGTGGAGGATGCCAAAGCCTCATTATCCCTGGACGACAAGCGGACGTTGTTGAAGAAGGTTCTGAGAAGTCCCCAGTTCAATCAAGCCCTGGCAAGTCTCACAATGGCCATACGGGATGGCGGCTTGCCAAGCATTGCGGATGCTCTTGGTGTAAAGGTACAAGATGGAGGATACCTAAGAGGCAGCGGCATGCCTCTGGGTGGTGGCCAAGCTATTGAGGCATTCGTGGATGGCGTTAAGAAGACAGTCGAGGACGAGAAGAGATGAAATGGCGATGCATCCTCGCGAGGTGTATTCTCGACTATGTGCTTGGTTTCTTTAATGACACGATGAAAGAAGCAATACTTGAGATATCTTGACGAAGGTCAATGCATGTTACTAGGCAGCACCCTGCATGAAACGAATTTTAGACATTAGACCAGTTGTCCCAATCTCTGTTTGTGATTTCATAAGTAAAATAGATCCATGATTTTTAACATGGGTTGAAATATGAATATAACATCTCATACTATTGGGCTATCGATATCAGAGCTATATCTCAGATACAGGTATGTAGGTATGCAAGGTATGTATGTAGGTGTATTTGGGTTAGAACCAAACTGCTCTAGTAGGACGCGAGGGTATTTACTCAAGGTGGGGCCTTGGGTCCCATCGTTGGCCCCACAAGGGATAGCATACCTAGGTACCTTATTAGAGACGCATACTGACGTACTGCACTATTCCTCAGGGTAATATTTCAAGCTAGCTCATCAACAACCAAAATCCAACCTACACCTCAAGCTCTTTTTAGTCACCACTTCATTCAAAAGCCCCCCTAATGTGCTTGGACGGTCTGGTGTTATCACGATGGACGTCTCATTTCCTACGGACCCTCGTGAATTCGACAGCGATGATCGCATATCGTTTTCCAAACTCGACCAGAAATTCATTGCAGTTCACGATGACGGCAACGAGTACGAGTTTGACGCCGATTCCAAACGATGGGTGCTTGCAGATGAGAATCCACTGGAGCCACCAACAGCTGGCGCATTCAATGACTTTGCAGAATCTGTATCGCATGATACTGTAGATGGTGGAGCAAAAAAACGCAAGAATGAATCAAGCCATGATTCTGAAGTACGTCCAAACATCGCTTCGCTGTCGAAACTGTCTCGATGCGTATTTACCGAAAGGTTATTGAAGTTAACTATTGAGTAGACTCCCGAACCCAGTAAACCTTCACGACCAAACAAGAAGCAGCAAAAGGCACCTCAACAGCCTAAACAGAATACAGCCATCTATGTCACAGGTTTACCTGCTGATGCAACGGTTGAGGAAGTCCACGATCTTTTCTCTCGAAAGGGTGGCGTTATCGCAGAGGAAATTGACAGCGGAGCACCACGGATCAAACTATACACCGACTCAGATGGCAACTTCAAGGGCGACGCGCTGATTGTTTTCTTCAAGCCACAGAGCGTAGAGATGGCCATTATGCTTCTCGATGATACAGACTTCAGAATCACTCCCAGTGGCACACGTGAAGGACGGATGCGCGTTCAGGCCGCAGACTCAAGTTACAAGAAAGTTAAATACGACCAGGAAGGTGGTGCAGGTGGGGAAGGGGCCAATGTCACAGCTGAGCGTAAACCACAGAACAAGGATCGCGACAGGCAAAAGATCATCAAGAAGACTCAGAAACTCGACGCGAAGCTGGCAGACTGGGATGACGACGTGCCCTACCCGGGCCAGCCGGAGACCGCGACCAAGTGGGACAAGCTTGTGATTCTTCGGCATATGTTTACGCTGGAAGAGCTTGAGGAGGACCCTGCTGCCCTGCTGGAGATCAAGGAGGACATCCGGGAAGAATGTGCCAAGCTGGGTACAGTGACAAATGTTGTCCTGTTCGACCAAGAACCAGAAGGCATAGTCTCAGTCAAGTTCAAAGATGCGGATTCAGCCCGTGCATGTATCAACCTCATGCATGGACGAAGTTTTGATGGTCGAACAGTGGAAGCTTTCCTAGCGACAGGACAAGAGAAGTTCAAGCAGTCGAAGAACGATACGAGCCAGGGAGACTCAGATTAGAAGGTCTACGTCCGATGTTGACATTGGAAGAAGATTTTATTGCGTTGTAAGATACCCATTAACTCTGATACTAGAAGCCACATCCTAGACAATGATTCATTCTCGCGATATGAGCATTTTCCTCTTCGCATCCATATGCCAAACTCGATGTAGGCTTACATGGGTTTTGGACAGATCCCCATCTCGAGTTCTTCGGCGACGGTGTACCATATAGCAGCTTCTATAATATTGCAGATGACCTGCAATTCTTCGTCATCTAATGAAAGTCTTGTCAGCTCATTGTTCATGGTCGCAACTTCTTGCCAATTGCCTAGAAGCAAACCTCACCTCGTGGTGCATAGATCATGACAAAGTCTGGGGAGACGGGGCTCTTGAGGAACCGACCTCTCCAAGCGAGTGGATGCCTCTGACCCCAGCCCTTTTCTAACACCTCCCTGATGTCGTCCGGGTGCAAACACATATGCATGGAGTGGTCTGAGTCGTGAACATGGCAGATCTCGCCCTGGCAATTCGTTTGTACTGGGTGCCTGGCAAACAGTGCCAACCCATGCTTCTCTATGCACGACTTCTCGGTGCCAAACTTCTTAGGACTCCTATTCGCTAACTTGGCCATGGACCAGCGGAGAGCTCGGTAGCATACTCGAGATCCATGCTGATCAAGTTGTCTTTGGGGTGCTATGCCAGCAACAACAGGTCGAGGACCTGCGCGGTATGGGAGACGCTGGCGTCGGAGGATACCTGATGTTGGGAGACGCATATGGTCAGGCTCTGGGGCTGCAAACGGGTCGCTGAGAGCCCAAAGACGGAACCATGATATACGGAGGTAGCCGCTGAAAGTGGAGGGCGTGCCACCAGGGCCAAGGTTGAGGAAATTCTGGTAGTCGTTGTGGACGCCTAACACTATGGGGAATAAAGCGATGACTACCTCGGCGTGATATGGATCAAGGAAGTGAATAAGCAGAACTAAGACAAGGGACGACAAGAAGATGGTTTTACCATCAAGAGTTACGGAAACAGGCTGCTGGCGAAGAGCATAGGATATCTTTAGATGTTCCAATTCAGCTTCGCCTTGGAGATCGGGAGGGGGAGAGGATAAGGTCTCAGCTGAAGCGATTGCAATTGATGACATCTTGAGATGAAAGGGCAGAGTAGTCTCTTTCTTTGAAGATGAAGAGGGCTTGTTTGGGACAAATTGGCGACCACAATGCCGCTATGTGGTCGAAGAGCGGGGTGTTGGAGAGCCGTGTAAGTGTGATCGATGTATTGATGAGAGCTGTATTTCAGCTTGTGGAACGATTTACAACTGTCGACCTCTTCCGAATAAAATCGGAGAGTGAAGCAATGCAGTATTTAAATAAATCGCCTGAGACAACAGCCGAGTCTTACAGGACAAGGTCAAGGCAAGAATTGGAGACGGTGAAAGAAGCGACAAGAGGGGATCGTCATATGATGCTCAGCCAGCGTCGCAACTAAGCAACCCAACCCCGACGTTCCGACAGGCGTGTTGGCAGCCACCGTAGCGAGCTGCAAAGCAAGCCTTGGATTTGATCGATCTGTTTGGTTAAAACAGCAGTGAATAGATATGCACTGCAGCCGTCGGCGGGGCATGACGTTGAATTGAAGCTACACATTCTCGTGGGTCTGGAATTTCCGACGAATAGGACAACAATTTGTCACTAGCGAGCGGCGTATCGGATCGCAATGAGAAAGCCTAAGACGGCATAGGATTATTTGATTGAGCATTCTGTAAAACTTGACTTGTCTGGCTCCAAGATCGTCAGAGCTACCCTGGACAAAGCGCTGTGATGGTGGTCAGAATAATATCTTCGCGCTATCTAAACGCCAAACGACCAGGTATTGAAGCATTTGCATGGAATTGAACAAGAAAGAAGGAGAGTTACTCGGGCGTTTCCCTGTTCATCTCACTCCTCATTCTTGACTCGGAACTGAAGCTGAGGCACAGCCAGTTTGCACTGATCAATACAACCGCACGAGCATTGGCAAATATGCGAGACGAGGTGTCGAAAGACCCTGGGAAACTCAATCCATGGAAGGCCTCACATCCATGCATGGATCCAAAAAGCCTTTGGCTCGTCAGCGGCTATTTGACTGTCATCCATGCTTGGCGGTACAAGTCGTCGAGCTGACGTCGTAGCTACTGGTAAGCCCAAGCTGAGCGTTGCTCAGCAACAGCCGGATCCGTAACAAAACAGACCAGCGAATGACGGAGCTCCCATCATGGGTCAATCACAGCTAAGAGCGGTCTAAGGAGCAGCGAGATAACAACTTTTCCACAACTCTCTATACTTTATATGCCAATTTTTTTCTTCTGTAATACTCAGGAGCACATCTTATTTAAGTAACTTGCTATTTTAAGCATCAACAAGTCACTCTGACTTTGACAATTGAGTATCACAGATTGTTGAGATATTGTTCCATCTGGTCGAAAAGGTCAGTATCCTCTGGTCAGTTCTGAGACCCAAGATTCCTCCCTCAATCGCTAACATTCCTTCTCAGAGATATATAAGAGTCCCATTATGGGGTTGCTTCCAAATCCACTGCGGCCGCGCGAGCCTCAGCTCCCACTATATCAAAAGGTCAACTCTCCAACGAAGGAGCGATATTCTGACGATGACTATTCAACCGAAGACGAAGATGACTACGAAGACGAGCCATACTCCCCCGAGAGCTCTTCAGCTGGCTCTTCAAGGCATACATCTGGGTCTGCGAGCAGTGGGCTTTTGATGTTGCCCAGTCACCAGAAGAAACCCCTCCCTCTCAGACGAAGGATCGCCAAAGTGTACCCCTACCGAATGCCAAACAAGGTCACTCGCTACTTATTTTGCACTGTCATTACATTTATCATCGTTATGGTCTTGAGTCTTGTACGAGCCAGCCAAGTTGAGAACTGGAAAGTTGCCAACGGTAAGGTTGATAACCGCCCACCACCACCACCACCTGCTTGGGAGAAGTTCCCCTTTTTGGAAAGATACTATGGCGGTCTCAAGAGCCTGGTCACCTTCGAAGAGCTAAAGCCGGAATGGCCTCATGTGAAGGATGAGCCTGAGATGCTTAGTGAAGGCAATGACTGGAGTAAGCAAAACGAAATCAAGAGCGACAAAGATACCGACGAAACCGACAAGGCTGCTACCGAAGAAATTGAAGCCCAAGCTCAAGGCGCGCATCCTACCAAGAAAGAAGTAAGGGACGAAGTTAAACCAGAGGACGACGTTAAGGCCGAGACAAAAGGCGGTGCCGTGGAGGGAAAGGAGGATAAGCCCCAGGATGATTCCAAGGTCAGCAAGAAGAAGCTCCCTAAAAGCAACGACTGGAGCGATTATGCGAACCGAAGCGAGGAGACCGGAAGCAAAGAATGTTTTTTAGATGCTGATGGTACAATACGGGTTCCCCAGCTCCGATACTATAATGGCCGCCCCCAAGGATTCCCTGAGCATGCCATCGGATCCTATGAGATCCTGAACCTGCCCGAGAACATTTGTTTCGACCGTTATGGTCGCTATGGCCCCTATGGGTTTGGCTATTCCTCAAGGAATGGTGGCCTTAGCGTTGGTGAACATGGACAAAAGGAAGGGTCGGATGCTGTGTGGGAGAAGACTCCTCGCGTGGACTATCGACATATTGACTGGGCTGATGTCCAGCGCCGTTGCTTTAAGGCCAACCAGGCTCGCTTCAAGGAGCTTCCCTCCAAAATACAGGCTCCTCATGGTTTCTTTGCGCACGAACCTAAGCCTAAGCCACTTCCTACTTCAACTCTGGAGCGCCGCGGTGTCGAAGAGGATAAGTCCAAGGCTGACAAAGAGACCGCTGCCTCCCAGATTGAGACGTCAAAACCGAAAACTACTCAACAATCCAAGTCCGAGGCATCACAGGTCGCAAACTCAAAGGTTGAGCCTACTGAGGCTTCTGTGTCTCAAACGAGTGAGTCAAAGCCTCAGGAATCAAAAGCAGAAAAGTTGCAGTCTGGAAAGCCCCACGAGACCGAACCCAAGGATAATGGGGTGGACGAGAAAAGTCAGGGAGAAAACGCTGGGCATTCCAATAATGCGTCGCCCAAGGCTGCTGGGAGCGGGGTATCACGAACTGCTGTTGTTGTACGATGCTGGGACGAGTACAATTGGCGCGAAGATGATATTGTCAACCTTCGATCTCTCATTACTGAGCTCGCTGTGGCATCTGGTGGTCGCTATGATATCCATCTCCTAGTTCAGGTCAAGAATGAAGCTGCTCATCCGGTTTGGGCGGACGAAAGAATCTACCACGAGCGCATTGAGGAGGCCATTCCTCAAGAGTTCAGGGGCTTGGTTACGCTGTGGTCCGAGACACAGATGCTCGCTCTTTACCAGGGTATCTACGACCACTTCACTCGTGGTCCTGATCTCCCCGTTCACGGCGTGTACCGCGGTCTGTCCATGGCCATGCAGTACTTTGCTCACAAGCATCCTGAATACGACTACTTCTGGCAATGGGAAATGGATGTGCGCTACACAGGTCACTATTACGATCTCTTTACCAAGCTTGAGAACTGGTCTAAGTCGCAGCCTCGGAAGGGTCTCTGGGAGCGCAATTCTCGCTTCTATTTCCCCAGCATTCACGGTAGCTGGGAAGACTTCTCACAAATGGCTCGGGTCCAGAGTCAGATGGGTGTCGTAGGCGCTGACAATGTCTGGAAGGGAGTTCCTGGTCTAGACGGCAAGTCCCCTGACTCTGACACCAAAGGCCACCGCACTGTATGGGGACCCCTTCGTCCTAAGGATGATGATGACTGGTTTGAGCCTGGCGACGATCCTGTTGCTCCCACTTCTTACGAGAAGGATCACTACAAATGGGGCGTTGGAGAAGAGGCCGATTACATTGCACTCAACCCGATCTTTAACCCTGATGGTACGACTTGGGGTCTCAAGGAGGACATCACAGGCTACAACCGGACCGAGGGACTCCCTCCCCGCCGGGCCAACATTATCACCACTTCGCGTATGTCGCGGCGACTGCTGACGACCATGCACAAAATGACGGCTTTCAAGAAACAATTCGCCTTCCCTGAGATGTGGCCTGCCACCGTCGCTCTGCAGCATGGCTACAAGGCCGTCGCTGTGCCCCATCCTGTCTATGTTGATCGCAACTGGCCTACAGCGTACATGGCACAGGTTTACAATAACGGCCGCGACGGTGCAAGTGGAGGCTCTCGAACCAGCATCTTTGGTGATCGCGAACACAACATGCACGGCCTTTCTTGGTTCTACAATTCGGGCTTCGCACCAAATATGTATCGTCGCTGGCTAGGTCTTCGAGTCAACAATGACGGCGGCGAGGAGTTTGAAGGCACAGAAGATAAGAGCAAAAAGGGCAAGGGAGTTGGCAACATGCGTGGTGGCGAGGGCAGAATGTGTCTGCCTCCCATGCTGCTTCATCCCGTCAAAGATGTCGAGCTGCCTGTTGAAGCCCCTGAGGCCGATGCTGAGGCGGGTAAAGCCCCCGAGTCTGATCCTGGAGCCTGAATGATCTCCTTACCTTTTTGCATGGAATGGCTTTGAGAGTCAAAACAAGGCGTTGGTTTTGCTTTTCTGGAGTTTTCTTACGGGTTCATATCGTGTCATGTCAGTGATGAGATATGCCAACGAGATGAATGACTTTTGATTTGAGCTACAAGGCATTGTAGTACACAAGACATGTTTTCCAGGATAATTGGCCATAGACTTGCTCGGTTTGAATAATGAATTTGAAATTTCAAAACTGCGTGCATTTATTGAAGATGATTTGCAAAATAACATCAAAGCAGTCACGTAAACTTTCTGGGGCCCTGTCCTGATCCAGACGCAAGCGACATAGGCTCTTGTCAACGTAAAATGTTATTACATACTCTCCATATTATCATATTTGCCCAGTTTTGCAATTCCACTGCTGTAGGATTGTTTTATCCTCCCCGAAGTGCTCCCAATATAATGCTGCGCCAATCCGGTCTTCACATTTGCGGTTCATCAAACAAACAACATTTCCAAGTATTTCAGTGAGTTGGTCTTTTATCATGCCGTCATGCACCTAAGTCTACCCCTTAAACCACCCGCTTGACCTCGAAGAAACGTCGCAGCCACCAGACCTGGAAGAGAGATTCACCAATGACAACACCAATGACGAACATGTTCCACCACTTGACTCGGCTGTTGGTGCTTTCGGCGGTGTTTCGGTGGGTGCGCTCACGCATCACGATATATTCTTGTTCGTCCTTGACTTGAGCAAGAAGATCGGACAGCTTCCGAACTGCAGAATGTTGTAAGCTAACTTGGCCATTCCCGGACGGAAGAATGCTCATTTACCTTCACGGTCGAGGGGGTCGGCAGGCATCTCGTGCTCGCTCACGTAGACGATTCCGTGGACGTTGAAGGAGACCTCCTTGGTGTTGGCACCCCAGTTCTCATTTCCGAAGCAGTATATGTATTTGCCATCATGCTTGGCTGTGAACGAATAATCGCCGTTGGAGATGCTCTTCTCGTTTGTCTCGTATTGACCAGCAGGGTTGGTAATCTGGCTATTAGTTAATATCCTGATTGTTTGCCTGACTCCCAAAGCCACGTACCCAGAAGTCAATGTCAAGGTTGCCTGCGCTGCCGAATTCCCGATCGCCAACCTGGAAAGTGACAGTCATAGTGTCATCCTTGTGTAGGGACTCGTGAAAGCATTCACGGCCGTGAGCAGGCAGGACGATGTTGTGAGCAGTGACAGCTGAGAAGACAGCAGCGGCCACAAGGGCCTTGGCCGCAGAGACGAAGTACATTATCGGGTGCGTGTAGATCCGATCGATCGCTATAACTTCAAAGGAGTGTCGTGGGTGTTTGCGATGCTAGAGTGCTCTGATCGTGAGCATTGAATCCCCGTGTTGGAGCTATAAACCAGTGTCCACTAAGTCAAGTATGGAGTTTGGATCGCGACGAATTGACACCTTTTCGCAGCTAATTGGAGGAGCTGCGGGTTGCTCCTGTTGCGGCTCTCGTCTGGGTAGCCACGGTTTTGCCGAGCTTGTGTCTGAGTTCCTGCCAGCTTGCACCTTTGTCTGCTTGCCAAAATTCACAAGCCAATCCCATATCCCCAAGCCTAAAGGGGGGAAGTGGGCGGGTGGGGTCTTGCTGTGGCTTGATCAAACAAGGGCTTAGAGATTACCTTGGTTTGTCGTTTATCTGTCCTTGCGACTTCAAAAAGGGATGAGATGTATCATGGCGGGACCGATTGCGCGGCGTTGAATTCGTGTGATCTGACGTTGAGAAGCAATTTTGGAGACGACGTACATTTCCAGATAGCACTACAGCGCTCAGAACTTTCAAGCTTAGAAATATGCGAAGGGCATATCTTGACACGAGACTGACACAACAAGTGTCGCCATTCACAAACTTCTCTTATCAAAGTACCTGAATCGCTTAGAAACGAGTACCCGAGATCAAGAGGACCTCATGTGGCGGTGCAATTGCGTTTGCCCCTCTGCCCTCCCTGTCTGTCCCCTGAGATGTCGTCGAAAAATAGGCCTTGGCTCCAGTATTTTCCAGTGACCGACCAGTAATTTCCCCTCTAACGGCATGCTCACCAGCCCCGGCCCCAGTAACAAACAGCCCGAGGCCAGAAAAAATAAGAACCTAGTAGCTGGAGCCCAAAAAGAGAGCGATAATGTCTCTCACCCCTCCCCGAGTGATTGTCTTCTCACACCGACAAGTCAAACCACACGACAGCGCCCACCCCCAATCCATCCATATCCATCCATCCATCGCCGCTCGTCGTTTTTTCTGCACCACCACTCCAAGGACCGCCCCACGATCCAGTAAGTTCAGCGTCTTCCTGTCTCTTGCTCGAGTCTGTCTAGATCCCGCTGTTTGCTGCTTGTGTATTCCCGATCCTCCTCTCGATGGTCTCTTCAAGAAGCTCCCGTCTCACGTTGTCGCCGCCCGATCACCAAATTCGCCGTCATGCTATTATCCCGTTGATCCGCCTCGTGATGGCTCTGAATCAACTATCGACGTACAGCATTGCATAGCTGGTCATATCGGGTGATAGCGGCAGCCTGGAACGGGGTTGCTTACAAGCTTGAAGGACTATCCAGGACTCCGATGATGGTGATGACCGAGTTGTGTTGTTGGATGAGCTCTTGATCGTTGCCTTGATCATTCCCTTAGGTGTCCTTTCGCGATACTCCATAAAGCCGTCCCGCCTCCACCATCACCAAAACATCCAACCTCCTGTTCCTCCCTTGGCTAGACGTCTTTCCATATATTGTCTCAGCCTGCCTGTGGCCTTTGTCTCTTCCCTCTTTATCTCATCCCCCCTTTTACCCCTCGCCACGTCGTCTTCTTTCAACATCCATCCACGCATCGCTGACCTTGCGCCTTCACCTTTAGGACCTCTTTTTCTATACCTAGACACACAGGCCTCGAAGCCGTAAACCGCAATCATGGGTCTCGCTTTCTCAAAGCTCTTCGACCGACTGTGGGGGAAGAAGGAGATGCGAATTCTGATGGTTGGTCTTGATGCCGCCGGTAAAACCACCATCCTCTACAAGCTTAAGCTTGGTGAGATTGTCACCACCATTCCCACTATCGGTATGAGACGCTCTCGATCCTGACAAACCCTTCATGCCGCTGACTTACGGATTTCTTTCTCATCTTACCAGGCTTCAATGTCGAGACTGTAGAGTACAAGAACATTCAATTCACCGTGTGGGATGTCGGTGGTCAGGACAAGATTCGTCCTCTGTGGAGACACTACTTCCAGAACACTCAGGGTATCATCTTCGTCGTTGACTCCAACGATCGCGATCGTATTGTCGAGGCACGAGAGGAGCTCCAGCGCATGCTCAACGAGGACGAGCTTCGCGATGCTATCCTTCTTGTCTTTGCCAACAAGCAGGATCTTCCCGTACGTCACGACCCCACCTCGAGACTTTCTCACAAATCTCCCCTCAACGTGTCATTTAACCGCAGTACCATATACTAACGTTACGCTACTACTAGAACGCCATGAACGCCGCCGAGATCACAGACAAGCTTGGCCTTCACAGCCTGCGACAACGCGCCTGGGTAAGTAATGGGCAATCCACATCTGGGCCCAGATGGTGTCTCTTTGTTCACATGCTGACCTCTTACTTTCTTCTATCAATAGTACATCCAGTCCACCTGTGCCACCTCCGGTGACGGTCTCTATGAGGGTCTTGAGTGGCTCGCCAACACCCTCCGAAAGGCGGGTCACCAGTAGAAAGGTGTCGAGAGGCCTCTCCATAAAAACTCGCTTTTTCTCTCCTGCTCTGCCATATACTCTCAAATGGCTCTTTGTCTCGACTCGAGGTTTCGGTTGTAATTTGCAAAGTTATCGGTCAACCAATCGAAGATAAATCCTTGAACCAAAGTCACATCTATTCACGTTTTCTGTTTAAGCAACCTCTTTTAACGCTTTCTTCCTCTCTCAATGGTGCTTCACTGTGAGCCTTCTGGTCAACAATATCTGCTTGCCATCGCTAGCGTCAGCTCGCTTCCTGAGGACCACAGAACGTACTTTCTCTTTTTTTCTTCTTGGAGGAAAAGTCGGGTGATGATGGGAGGCGTCTTATGGGGATCCCCGGGATATTTGTACAGTCGTCAATCGGGTGTTGTTTGCTCTTTGAAAAGAATGCATCCTCGCTGATTTTACAATACTCTCGCAAACCGTGGCGCACTGGTATATCTATCGTTTGTTAATTTCACTTAGGGAACATGACCATGATGAGCAACTCAAGTAACGAGGGTTATAAATGAGGCATGAATTCGGGCCACCGCAAGTTTGAGCTGTTGTAGAGATTCTATAAGTTTTATTCCAAATCTTTGGTGAAATCGCAAGACTTGGTTGATTCGAGTGACACACGGTCTCTAGTCTTTTTGGCTAAAATGAACAGAGGTTTGTGTCTAGAGTGCTGATTTTAATCTTGAATGAAAGACAAATTTAGAAGTGCAAACGTATCTGGGACGGATCCATGACAGACACGGACCCGAGTCAAGAGCCTGCCTTCTAGAGGATCGCACAAGTCTGCTTTGCATCAAAGATTTAAGCCACAATGTTCCAAACAGAATTAATTCCACCAGTAGTAGGAGACAAGACTTCAGTGCGTTTGGAGATGCGTTGGTCTCAATTGAGTGGTTATGCATTATTTAGTGTTAAGTTACATTCTATGATGCTATATACGCTTCTGTTATACAAATTGTACGAATTAGACATGAAACACATTAACTCATTAAAAAAATCCTGAATAGTCCTTAATAATCAGGTCATTCAAGCATCCTTGGGCTTGACGATGATATCCAAGCCCTCCTTGTCGTCACGGATCTTAACCTCAGCGGTCTCGCCCATTTTCAGCTGCCCTTTGATGATCTGGTCTGCGAGGCCGTTGCCAATCTCATTGGTAATGAGTCGGTTCAGGGGGCGCGCACCGAACTTGGGGTCGTAACCACGCTCCGCAAGCCAGTCTCTGACATTGTCAGGAACCGAAAGGATAATGCGGCGGTCGTCAAGACGCTGCTGAAGCTCCTTCAGACGAATGTCGACAATATCACGGATAGCGCTGCGGGCGAGACGCTTAAAGACAATGAAAGAGTCGATACGGTTAAGGAATTCGGGTGGGTAAGCCGAGGCAACAACATCCATGACAGCCTTGCGGACTGATGGGTCAATCTCGCCATCGGGTGTCTCACTATAGGGGTGAAGGTGGTTTTGGCCAACAAGTATATCGGCGCCCAAGTTCGATGTCAGAACGATGATAGTGTTCTTGAAATCAACCTTGTGGCCTTGGGCATCGGTGAGGTAGCCCTCATCAAGGACCTGGAGGAGGAGAGCGGAGATATCGCGGTGTGCCTTTTCAAACTCGTCAAAGAGTAGCACAGCATATGGCTTACGGCGGACAGCTTCGGTCAGTTGGCCAGCGTCCTCATAGCCGACGTAACCGGACGGTGCACCAATAAGTCGAGAAATGGTGTGTTTTTCTTGGAATTCTGACATGTCAAAGCGAACAACAGCAGATTCGGTCGAGAACAGAAAACCCGCCAATTTCTTGCACAACTCTGTCTTACCCACACCAGTAGGGCCCAGGAAGAAGAAGGAAGCCAGTGGTTTGTTCTCGCCACTCAGGCCAGCTCGTTGGAGACGAACGGCATTAGAAACTGCCTTAATGGCTTCATCCTGGCCCTTGACCGCTTCGCGGAGGGAATCTTCCATATGAACCAATTTCTCTATGTGTCCGGAAGTCAGCTTCGACACAGGAATGCCTGTGATGCGGGAGACGACATTGGCGATATCGTCGGGGCTGACAGAGTCGTGGATCAGAGTATCGCTGGACTTTGTTTCTTGAGCCTCTCCTTCCTTGGGCAACTTCTTCTCGAGATTAGGAATAACACCAAATCTGAGCTCAGAGGCACGGCCAAAGTTCCCTTCTCTCTGTGCCTGCTCAAGCTCGAACTTGGCTTTGTCGAGGTCTTCTTGGATCTTCTTGACTGATTCGATCTCAGCACGCTCCTTCTCCCAGCGCGCATTGAGCTCAGAAATTTCCTCGTTGAGTTTCTTGAGGTCACTTTCAAGTTTCTCACGCCTCTCCTTGGAAGCAATATCTGATTCCTTCCTCAAGCTCTCAAGTTCAATCTGGATGGTCATGATCTTGTGGTCAAGGCGCATTATATCTTCGGGCTTGGACTCATGCTGCAGTTTGAGGTGGCTGGCTGCTTCATCCATGAGGTCAATAGCCTTATCTGGTAAAAATCGATCGGTGATGTAGCGGTTGGACAATGTAGCAGCAGCAACCAGAGCGCCATCTGTAATGCGGACACCATGGTGAACTTCGTACTTGTCTTTGATACCTCGGAGAATACTGATAGTATCCTCCACAGAGGGCTCGCTAACAATGATCGGTTGGAATCGTCGAGCCAGGGCAACGTCCTTCTCGATTTGACGATATTCGTTGAGAGTTGTTGCGCCACAACATTGAAGTTCGCCACGGGCCAGAGCAGGCTTCAGGAGGTTTGATGCATCAATAGACCCTTCAGCCTTCCCAAGTCCGAGGAGTGTGTGCAATTCATCAATAAAAAGAATAACTTCTCCTTGAGCTTGTTCCACCTCTGTCAAGACCTTCTTTAACCTCTCTTCAAAGTCTCCTCTGAACTTAGCGCCGGCAATGAGAGAGCCAAGGTCAAGGCTGATGACCCTCTTGTTCTTGATGCTCTCAGGGACGTCACCTCGGACAATACGGAGGGCAAGACCCTCAAGAATTGCAGTCTTTCCAGTACCCGCATTGCCGATGAGGACTGGGTTATTCTTGGTTCGCCTTGACAAGATTTGAATGGTTCGCTGAATCTCTGCGTCTCTTCCAATAACTGGATCCAGCTTTCCATCCTTGGCTCGGGCAGTCAAGTCAATACCAAATTGTTCCAGAGCAGGCTTCTCTTCTTCGCCACCCATGTTCATCCGGTGAGTGCCACCAGGAGGGTGTGGACGGCCATTGGCATATGACCGGATAGCAAGACTTGGAATCAATCGTAGAGAAGTCGGTCTCAAAGGTTGGGTAGCTAGCACCCGTGTAAGTGGTTGCACGGATCGGGTCCGCGCACTAGCAGCAATGCGCTGTGTTGATGCGATTATTTGCTTGCGTGCTTGCATGTTAGGCACTGTGATAGAAGGCATGCAAAGAACGTCTAAAGGAAATAAAACGAGGGCAAGATCGTGGATTTCTTCGACATGCGGGAGACCTTTTATTATCTACGACACGAAACTCGGCTACACGCTTCAAGGTGAATGGAGCATATTCTCGCAAGTTCGATCATCCGTCATTGAGAGACGCTAGAGCCGATAAGATAAGTAGAGCCAGCTTGTATCCGATAATCATGTGACTGACGGTGCGCAAGACAGAAATCTTGTGTGATCGCCTAACGCATATATTCTGTCACCCATGATGCGGCTCGTCTGATAAGAAGCAAGGTAAGGAGACCAGGAACACGTTTATTTGCAAGCGCAAATCTTCTGGTGTGTTCTTATTTTTCTACTACTCAAGCGTAATTAAATCATGTGATCCTTGTAGACTGTTGGTCTTGCTAAACATTGGAACTTATAAGGTATTTCGTTACTAAGTGGCACGCTAGAAAATTTTGGCAACCACAACCAGCAACCTGCCCTAAGAAGAGCTCCCACGTGACTCTTTCAGTGGGGATCTTGGCTCAAGTTTGATTGGGCAGTTCGCCACACTTTCTAGG